TTCGACCGCACGCTCCAAAAAACATTTCTTACAATTAACAATAATACATTTCTAAAAACATATTTCGGATTACATCTATTTTTTCGTTGTCCTGTTATTATCGTGAAGTAAAAAACAAAAACAAATTTATTTCCGTACCTGATGATGTCTGTATGCACAGATGAAAACTTGTAAAAAAATAAAAAAAGACCTTATTCAACTGGAATTTTAAACAGGGATCATAACATTCATCTACAAGTTCGGGGTTAATGTACTTTATTAAATTTGTTCGCGAAGATGTATTCTCGCCTTTATATCATTAACTTCTATATCTGTTTTTTGTATGAATGATTCATGTAATGTAAATTGAACTGCACCACATACTTGATATATATATATATATATATATATATATATATATATATATATATTCAGGTTTGAAGGTGATATAATCTCTCAGTATTTGTTTATTTATATATTGCTTCTTGTATAATAAAGGGAAATGGATCGCATCTGAGTATGCATAAATATTGTTTTCAATTCTTGCAAGCACACGGAAGCTATGTCAAAATGCTAGTCGAGAAATGATCGCTCTCGGCTGTGTCCATAGAAGAGAAAGTCTGATGTCGTGGAGGCTCGAAACTTTCTATGACCGCAGAATAGACATCACTGAGGAAGCATTCTGGTGCGCAATATCTGCGTATAAAACGAACAGATGGTAACTCTTTCCTATATAAGAATATTCAACCTATAATAAGACAAGAAAACTGTCCCTATTTGAGGCTTGGAAATTATGGTAACCATGTATGATCATTATTGTTGTTTACTTTCAAATTTCAAATACATTTTTTTTTTGTTTTTTTGAGTGTACCTTCCATTTTGATATCTTTTCATTTTCTAATTGATGTTCTCCGTGGTATTTGAGCGTTTAAATTTGAGTTAAATTTCACGTTTGAATCGTTCAAAATCTTGACCACAATTAATCTTAATATTTAAGGGCTATCGAGTTTTTGTTTTTTTTATTTTTCTTTCTTTTTGTTACTCCGCTGCTACAGGCTACTCGCTCATCATTCTAGGAACTGACTACCCCAATTAGTTGTGTCCACCTCTCCCTCTTAATATATTAGAATGTCAGTTAAACATGGCATCGTCTAAAAGTTCTGTGGGCCGCAGTTCGAGTCTCCATATAAGTTATCTGAGTGCCCATTCCTAATCAAGGATATATATATATATATATATATATATATATATATATATATATATATATATCAAGTATGTGGTGCAGTTCAATTTACATTACATGAATCATTCATACAAAAAACAGATATAGAAGTTAATGATATAAATGGCGAGAATACATATTCGCAAACAAATTTAATAAAGTACATTAACACCGAACCTGTAGATGAATGTTATGATCCCTGTTTATAAATTCCAGTTACATAAGGGGTTTTTTTTATTTTTATTTTTTTACAAATTTCTTTCAGAGGTAGGTCCCTGCCATTTTTCATTCTTTGTAGAATTTCTAATAGACATCTTGACTTTAACTAAGTTAAAAACCTTTTTTTCTTTTAACAGGAGTAGATAGGCTTTCCTATCGTCACGTCCATACTCTTTCCCTTTGTCTTAAACAGGCGTAGAGGCTCGTCCCTTGTTTCCTGCTTAGGAAGTGGTCCCCGGTTATTTTCCTTTTCTCGGGCCTTAATAATGATGCTTTCATGAATTTTTCTTTTGTTCTATGGGTGGATGGTGGCTTCATTCTGAGGTTATCGGCTTGGCAGTTTTCTGATTGACTGCTATTAAGGAGCCCGAATTCTTGCGTAGTGTCTTGAGAGGCTGCTCTGATCAACATTCACATAATATCGGGATCCTTGCATTGGTGTGTCGCACATGGAAGGGTGTCCCCGCAAGCACCTTCGGTGGGCAACCCTGAGGCCACACTATGATGCAGTCTGCGTCAGTTCCCTTCCCACACGTTACAATAGACGACCGACTGCTACTACTACTCTATGCCTTTCCTTACCAAAATAACACACCATGCCTATAATCAATCAAAGATATAAAACTAAAACAGCTTAACAAAAAATACCTACCCCCCACAACTTTTCTTTCGACAACATTCGGGGTATTCGTAATAACTTTTGCAATGTTGAATCTTTCCTCTTCGAAAAATTTCCGAACATCCTATCTTCCTACGAAACTAATCTTAACTCTTCAATCCTCGCCTCTGATTTCTCGATTCCTGGCTATTTTCTCTTTAAGAAGGACTCTAATGCCTACATGCATGGCTTGGGAGTTTATGTTCACGAACATCGTCCGCTGACAATGGAGCTTTCTCCTGAATCTCCAGACATTCTTACATGTATTTCCGTCTCTCTCTACTAAACTCAGCTATTTCTTCTTTCTCTACCGTTCCCCTTTTTCTCATGACTATTACGTGCTAGAGAGTATTTCTGATAAGATAGACAAGGCCATATCCCTACACCCGTTTGCAAATATATTTGTGTTCGGTGACTTTAATCCCCGCCATATTAGTTGGCTTAAGCACTCCATCACTGAACTCGCTAGTATGCAAACCTTGAACTTCTCAATCACCCAAACTCTCACGCATGTGGTGGACTATCCTACGCATTTCCCCAGTAACCCTAACGGAAACGCTTCTCTTCTAGATTTCTTTTTACCTCTATCCTTGACTCATGTCGCACCATGCAACTCTGCCCTCTTCGCAACTCTGATCATGCAGTAGTATCTGTAAAGATCTATTTCCACCCTACTCCTACCAACCAAGTACATCCTATCAACAGAATATCTTTCTGTTATCAACAAGCGGATTGAGACTAGTTTCATGATTTCCTTCGTGATATCCCTTGAGATGAAGTTTTTAATCATCCTGTTCAAAGATGCACGTCTGGGGTCTCCACCTGGGTGAAAGCCGGCATCGATGCTTTCATTACAGCAAGGAAATGCCAAGTTAAATCGCGTTTATCTCCTTAGTTCTCACCTGCATGCTCGGTCGCTATAGCCCGCAGGAATGTACCAAAAGATCATGTCTGATGGCAATAAACGTTTCTTTGTCTCTACACGTAAAGTGTGCAAGCGCATCCTCAAAGAAATGAAGTTGCTGTATGCTGATAGAATGAACCAACATATAGCATCTCGTAAGTTTGGTTCTAGAAATTATTGGCAGCTCTGCAAAAGTGTGCTGAGCAACAACAAATCCTGAATCCTTCCTTTATTTAATCAATTCGAAGTAAATAAATACGCAAACATTCCGTGTGTCGATGGCCTAAGAGTTAGACTCTCCAACTTTGGATGACTGTCCCTCTCTTTCTCTTTCACTCTCTCTCCCTCCCTCACTCTCCCTATATATATATATATATATATATATATATATATATGTAATAACTCTCTCTTTTTGTGGGTGTGTGTGTATATATATATATATATATATATATATATATATACACAAAGAGAGAGAGAGAGAGTTATTACACGTAAAAAGAGTTTCGTAAACATATCCTACAGAAATTACTACGTCCACACATCAGGGGTTACCAGCAAATGTCTATTTATATTTTTCTATTACTCTTTTATATATGCACTTTCATTGGTAAAAAGCTTGATTTTTTTTCATGGTGCGCTCATCGTTGCATAAATGTAAATTGTAGGGGAACACACACCAATACAATAACAGAGGAAAATCGTATTCATCAGCTACAATGCATTTCCATAAAAAGGAACATATTGCATTAGATAAAGTCATAATTACAAAACTGAAAGATTATATATATATATATATATATATATATATATATATATATATATATATAAACGTAAACATTCGTTAGTCAGGTGGAGTGACAGGACTCCCCGAAGAAGACAAAGCGGCGTCTGCCCCCTACGACAACTGAACAATAACTTCTCCACAGCGCTTGCTACACACCCTAGAGGTGAGTCGTGGGAGAGAGTAAAAGAAACAAATTTTCAACTAGGGCCTGCAAGTACTTAAAAAAAATTGAGGTAATAGAACACCCCATGTGACTAACGCAGGGTTATTTTTAGTGTCTATCAATATTTGAGTGTATTTTTTCGGCTACCGGCCTGTAAATTCGAGAAATCTTATTAAAGGAAAATATGGGCTCTCCGGCAGGATTCGAATCTGCTTCCCCTTGACAAGGAAAACCATTATTAGATCCGACGTGCTTTAGACTGTATCAGCCACGAAGCGCGTAGATCATCAAGTAAAGACGAATAAACGCAAATCTTTTTCAGACTTTCGAAACATTCAGATCTGCTTAGTTTTGTATCCGAATATAAACAAAGCAATTTCTAAAGACGTTATGGATTTGTAATTATTAATTCGATAAAAACAAACGTAACGTCTACTCAAATATAGATATCCACTAAAAATAATATGTGCGCATGCGCGTGTGTTTATCAAATACGTATGTATCTTGTTTTAACATTATGCGTTGGTAAGAAATATTAATTGTTGATGAGAATTATTCAATGAAACGCCTCTCAATAAAATACTAAACACATTCTCCTGGATTGCATTCAGAAGACTATCTCTTCGTATTCATTTCGTGTTCTATTTGTAGAACATTGGGATTTCAACAAATGGTTCCCGTATATGGTTTGTCGTTTGTGAACTGTTTTCAATGAAACTGTCTTCGTCGACTTCAAGATCCAAGGATAGTTTTAGGTTTTCCTCATAAAAAAAATTAGAGCTATGAATATGGGAGTTGCAGTAATCATTATTATAAGGAAAGAAATAAAAAGCAAAGAAACTGAAAAGCATAAAGAATAAAAAATAACGAGAAAATGAATGCGTAAAGTAAATATTTGAAAAGAAAGAAAGAATGAAATACAAAGAACGGAAAGTGAAAAGATAAAATGAAATAATAAAAAAAGCATTGCGTAAAGTGAATAAAATACTTGAAAAGTAAAGAAAGAAAGAAGGAAAAGAAGGAAAGATTGAAAAGAATAATAGAGAAATAACGAAAATGGCATGCGTAAAATTAAATATAGTATATGAAAAGTAAAAAAAGAAAGAAAGGCACAAGAAGGAAAGAAAGTGAAAAAAATGAGCAAGAAAGAACAAAAAGAGAATGGGTAAAAGAAAAACTGAATATCTGAAAAGTAAAGAAATAAAAAAAAAGGAAGAAGAAGAAAAGTAAGTGAAAAGAATAAGAAAGAAAAAAAGAATGCGTAAACCAAATAGAATATTTCAAAACTAAAGAAACAGAAAAAAAGGAGGTAAGAAAGTTAAAAGAATAAGAAAGAAAGAACGAAAAAAGGAATGCGTAAATGAACTGAATATTTAAAAAGTAAATAAGAAAGAAGACGGAAAGTAGGCGGGAAGAATGTGAAAACAATAAGAAAGAAAGAAGGAAAAATGATGCTTAAAGTAAATAGAATATTTCAAAAGTAAAGTAAAAGAAAGAAAGAAAGAAAGAAAGAAAGAAAGAAAGAAAGAAAAAGGAAAAGACATAACGTAAAAAAATGCGTAGAAGTAAAAGGATAAAAGAGAAAGAAAAGATAACGTAAAAAAAGCGGAAAGAAGTAAATAAAGTATTTGAAAAAATGTAAGGTAAAAAGAAAAAGAAAGAAAGAAAGAAAGAAAGAAGGAAAAAGACGGAAAGAGAGTGAAAAGGATAAGAGAGACATAACGTAAAAAATGCGTAGAAGTAAATAGAGTATTTGAAAAGTAAGGTAAAGAAAGAAAGAAAGAAAGAAAGAAAGAAGGAAAAAGACGGAAAGAGAGTGAAAAGGATAAGAGAGACATAACGTAAAAAATGCGTAGAAGTAAATAGAGTATTTGAAAAGTAAAGGTAAAGAAAAAAGAAAGAAAGAAAAGAAAGAAAGAAAGAAAAAGAAAAGAGAAAAATAAAAAGAAAAAGAAAAAAAAAGAGAAGTAAATAAAGAAGGAAAAAGGATAAAGAGAAAAGAAAAGTAAAAAAAAGCGGAAAAAGACGGAAAATAGAGATTTGAAAAAAAAAATAAAGTAAAGAAAAGAAAGAAAGAAAGAAAGAAAGAAAGAAAGAAAGAAAGAAAGAAAGAAAGAAAGAAGGAAAAAGACGGAAAGAGAGTGAAAAGGATAAGAGAGACATAACGTAAAAAATGCGTAGAAGTAAATAGAGTATTTGAAAAGAAAGAAAGAAAGAAAGAAAGAAAGAAAGAAACAAACAAACAAACAAACAAACAAACAAACAAACAAACAAACAAACAAAGAAAAAAGAAAGTGAAAAGAATAAGAAGGAAATAACCAAATAAAGAACAGGTAAAAAATAAATAGAATATTTGAAAAGTAAAGAAAGTGAAAAAGAAAGAAAAAAGAAAGGAAGAAATAAAGAAAACGAAAGAATGCGAAAAATAAACAAGAAAGAATGAAAAAAAATAATGCGTAAAGAAAGAAGAACGAAAATAGAATGCGTAAAAGGAAATATAATATTTGAAAAGTAAAAAAGGAAAGATAGAGAAAAGATTAAGAAACATAAAAGAACGAAAAAATGCGTAACATAAGTAAAATATTTGAAAAATAAAGATAGACGAAGGAATGAAAGTGTAAAAGTTAATAGAATATTTGAAGATTAAGAAAAATGAAGAAATAGAGAAGGAAAGAAAGTGAAAAGAATAAGAAAGAAAGAAAGAAAGAAAGAAAGAAAGAATGTATAGAGACAAAGAAAAACAGAAAAAAAGAAAGAAAATGAAAAGAAAAAAACGGAAAAATTAATGCATAAAAGTAAAAAGATTATTTGAAAGTAAAGAAATAAAAAACTAAAGAACCAACGAGGAAAAGAATGAGTAAAAGTAAATGGAATATTTGAAAGTAAAGAAAAAAAAGAAAGAAGGAAAAAAAAGAAGGTAAGAAAATAAAACAATATGGAAGAATGAATGGTAAAATTAAATAGAATATTAGAAAATAAAGAAATAAGGAATGAATTAGGAAAGAATATGCAATGAATAAGAAAGAAAGAATAAAAAACAATAGGTAAAATAAATAGAATATTTGAAAAGTAAAGAAAGAAAGAAAGAAAGAAAGAAAGAGAGAAAGAAAGAAGGAAAGAAATAAAAAGAAGGAAAGAAAGAAAAAAAGAAAGAAAGTGAAAAGAATAAGAAATAAAGAACGAAAAAATGAATAGGTAAAATTAAATAGAATATTTGAAAAGTAAAGAAATAAAGGAAGGAGAAGGAAAGAATATGAAATGAATAAGAAAGAAAGAAAGAAAGAAAGAAAGAACTAAAATCGAATGCGCAAAGTAAATAGGATATTTAAAAAGTAAAGAAAGAAGAAGAAAAAGTGAAAATAAATGAGAAAGAAAGAACGAAATAGAATCGGTAAAATTAAAAAGAATATTTGAAAAATAAAGAATGAAAAGAAAAAGAAAAGAGAAAGAATGAAAAATAATGTTTAACATTAAAAAGAATATTTGAAAAATAAAGAAAGAAAAAAACAGTGAAATCTTTACTTTATTGACTTTCTGCCTTCAAACGTCTTATGGGTCGATTGACAACGTGATGCAAATTGTTCGATTTTGCAAATATGATTGAACAAGGCCCAGGAGATGAAAACATCAATGGTTATTTTATAATTATGTGAAGGTTGTTTACCAGTTTTTTTTTAAATATTCATTGTGCCAATACTTTTTTAATATATGGATTATTTTATTCAGTTTCACAGCTTAAATTAGAACTGTATACGTTTTTTTTTCTGTTGCATTTTTTCTTGTATTATGAATGCCAATGTTCATTTTGTGACATTGTATTCCCATAGATAGATAGATAGATAGATAGATAGATAGATAGATAGATAGATAGATAAGATGCATTAATCGACAATGTGACCAGAATCTAAATAAAATATTAAGTAACAATAATTATTAATTAAAATATATTAAGCTCATCAATTTACATTTGGTGGTTAGATGTAACCGTAAATTCAATGCTAACAGTTTCTCTTCTCACAGTTCTAGCTTGTGGAAATCACTTCCGGTTCCATGTTCTCCAGACAATTTTGCTAAAATTAAAATGTCTATCGCTATCTACTCTCCCCTTGATCACTCTGTTCACACTTTTTCCACACCTTTTAACCCCTTCTGTCTTAGTGGCCTGCTTTTCCCACGAAGACTAGAGGACAAAAGAGACATTAAGTAACCTACATAACGAGCTTTTGTAAATTGATAGCAGAACAGGGTCTGGGCGTCATATTAAGGGTATACAGTTTAAAGCTAAAAAGATAGGAAGTTGTAGAGAACCATGTCCTGGTGGGAGACTGTACATCAATAACAATGTTCAATATGTCCTGTGAAGGACATATCTTTGTACAAAACCGAGCATCTTTTTCTCTGTTTATATGTCACTAGTTATTTTCTTTACTTAATGTAACCATAAATTTTATTGATTCTTTCCTCCTTAACATCACCATATTTACTTTATGCTCCCCTTATGTTATCACGAGATGATAACACCACCCAACACGTAAGTCTTTGTCGGCATTTAGGCGCCATTGTTAGCGGTTCCTCACACGGCAAAACCTCAGGCTTCAAGTTCCAGTCCTCAGTGCCATAAATCTCCATAAATGTCGAAACTGTTCCGTTTTTCCTAAATCCAATCACGTTGCATTGCTTTACATATGATTCCCAGGCCAGTGCTTTTCATAATAGATGTAAAAACTTCAGGCTTTCCTTACCCACACATTTATATCTCCTGTTATCTGTGGAGTGGGGTAGCTTAAAGATGATTTCACATTACCCCTGTATTGTTCAAATTATGCCTTCGCTAAATAAATCTCAAATGATAAATCTTTTTGCTCACAACTCATATGAATAAAACACGTGAAACTGCGCGTAATCTCGTCTCAGTATCTAAAAAATAATATAAGAATATATGTAATAAAAATTCAGATCAACGTTGTCACGTCTTACTTATGAGGCAAGATCAAAATGGCGCTATAAAGCCAATGCTATGATTTTTTTTTTCGTCACAGTTTTGTAGTACAGCAGATACTGTTTCTGTTTCTCTTGGACTTTTTTCTATGAGCTGAAAGCTGGATAGCATGGAGCCGGAAGGGAGTTCCATAAGCGAGAAAAGAAACTGTTATCATAGAACTTATAGTTACATCTAGCCAGTCAACTGCATATCGATGAGACCTCGCCGTCGGTCGAATACTGTGCTTATTCTAAATATTAACGAAAATCGCTGTCGTTTATTACCATTTTATACTTACTTTTAGCTTCCTTGAAGAATTCTTCGTTTTAGTTGTCGGATAATGTTGTAGCATACCTACGGATGATAATGGGTATGTCCCCATTCACATAAATACAGTAGTAAATACAATATGTTGGTCTGCAGTCGAAGATTCGTCTCTAGCTGTACTGGTCAAACTTTCTGCCTCCGTTCAGAGAGGATCCCTAGACGAGCTTATGTCGAAGGGCAGGGAAACAGCTACCCGACCCTGTTGTATACGGAGTCTACGGGGAATTTTTGGTCGCGCTTACGGGCTCGGATACTTCACATTAAATTCGGTTTTGTGCCACATCTGACCACCTGGGGCGGTTGGTAGATACCCTATCGTTGGAGATTCGTCTCCAGCTATGCTGGTCAAACTCTCTGCCCCAGATGAGGCTATGTCGAAGGGTAGAGTCTCGTCTCGGGAAACAGCTACCCGACCCCGTTTTATACGGTGTCTACGGGGAATTTTGGGCCGAGACTACAGGATCGGATACCCCACATTAAATTCGGCCTTGTACCACATCTGACCACGTGGAGCGGTTGGTAGATATCCTTCAGTTGGAGATTCATTGTGCAATCCACTTGACTCATTTCTAGCAGTTGGCTACTTCTTCTATCCAGTAACGTTCCCTTGGTTACAACAGATAATCTGTAGAAGAAAGAGAATAGGATTAGTTTGAGAACTAATCCTGTTCAATTTCTTTCTTTCGGCGGTTGGAGAAAGTCTATGTGTAAAATGCGTTGGTTTGTGGGGATTTTTTTTTTTCATTCCTAGCATGACAGTAAAGCCACTAAGACACAAAAAGACTTGCATTTAAATTTTCGAATTTGACTGGAAAGCATGGAACCAGAAGGGACTTCTAGAAAAAAAAGTGCTAGAAAAGAAACTGTTAGCAAATAAATTACGGTTACATGTAACCATCTCAACTGTATATTAAGGAGGACCTTGTCGCCATTTACTACCACGCTTAAATTCATAAACTCCATAGTTTAGTACCATAGTTTACCCGAACAACTATCATTAAAGTATTTATAGAAAAGGCACAGAGAGGAAACTTTATGTCGGTGGAAAAGTGACTGACACCGAGACGCCAGATCAGGACCAATAATAATGCTGACTCTTCTTTGGGTTTTATCAAGGATCCCTTGATATATAGCAGGAGCATAGGACCTTATGTTGCCGGACCATATTATAATCATGGACGAATGGTAGGCTTATAGATATGCAGGATAGATTCTGACGAGAAAAATTGTCTAGCACGACCACTACTCCTTTCGCATGAATTAAAAGAGGTTGTAGAAGGCTGGTATATATACATATATGTGTGTCTGTGTGTTTCTATGTGTATGCGTGTATGTGTGAGAGAGAGAAAGGGAGAGAGAGAGAGAGAGAGAGTGTGTGTGTGTGTGTGTGTGTGTGTGTGTGTGTGTGTGTGTGTGTGTGTGTGTGTGTGTGTGTGTGTGTGTGTGTGTGTAATTATATGCAAGCACGACTAGAAAACCATTACGTCACTATAAAGCTCAACGTATTATTTGCTGAGCTTATATATTTCTTAATGCTCGACTCAATGCTATGCTAGACTTGGTCGAGGAGAAAGAAAGAAAGAAAGAAAGAAAGAAAGAAAGAAAGAAAGAAAGTCCAATAGTTAAAGAAAGAAAATGTCAAAAAGCCAAAGAAAGAAAGCATCAAAGAAAGAAAGCAAATATTTAAAGAATCAGTCAATAAAGCGTGCACTTTTTGTTTCACTGAAACTGGGAATGAGTCAAAATCAGTTTAATAATCATTAAATAAACACATTTTTATCACAGTAACTTTTCATTGTAATTCGCAGAGAGATAATTCGTTTACCTCATTTTAAAACACGTTGTTTACTCCTACTGTGAACTGTTTGATGAGGAAATCACATCGAATAGAAGGTCATATTTCTCAGGCCCTAGTTTTATTTTCTAACCAGCAATTTATATTGATTCATAATCGCAGATAAAAGAATTTCGCAAAACCGCCAATGAACCGAATTTGTGGAATAAGAATTCTTATTAGCATGCACCATCCTAACAAAGATGCTTGCATCAAACACTGAGTTATGCCATTCTGCGACCAGGCTTAAATTTCGTTTTCTAGGGACAATGGCTCCGCAAAGTCGGTCACCGGCAGGATAACATTTACATTCTATTTACCGTATCCTCTATACGGATAAACCCTGGTAGGAATTGTCGTAAATGGATGGGAGACTTGGAGGGATGATGTGCCGTTTATATTAGAAAAAATCTATGTTATCGACTGCGGGGAAAAATTGACACTTGACGGTTATAGATGTGCATTTTGTTTGTCGTCTTACGATATCTGGTTGCAAATAAAAAGTGTGAAAACGTGGAAAAGATATATGAGTCCTTGTGTTGCTCATAGATTCTCTTAGCACTTTGGGATGGACTTTCTGGAATCATATTGAACTGTAGACACTTAAACGTTTATCATGTCCGATTCCCCAAGTGCATGAATGTTCTGATTGCTGAAAATGTAGGAATTATTATTTTATAAAGCCTTAATGGTGACTTCGAGGTTAATATAAACCCCTTAACAAATATCTTATTTCCATCAAATGTTTACTTTGGGAAGTTATGCTTCGTTTTATATAATAAGAGTATGGGTTGGTTGGTTTATTTTGTTTATAGTGACCTTTTTTTTTAAGCAGAAAGTCACAACTGAAATTATTGGCGTACATTATGAGGATAAGGGTTTGGAGAATTTAGCACATACATGGCATATCGAAGGCAAGGGGAGCAGAGGAAAATACTTTTCCCTTTATATGCCGTATACATTCAGAATGTTGGTGATCATGGTTCTCCACAATTTCCTATCTTTTATAGCGCTTTGTTTTTGGCCATCTCTCCTAAGCTCTATTCCATTTACTCAAGTGAGCCAGGTAGATTATGTGTTTCTTTCAACTGTTTCTCTTGCTTTCAATCGGTCCTGTGACCATCAAATTTTCCAAGCCCTCTTTCCTCATTATGCGCCCTAGAAATTTCAACTATATCTTCCTGATCTTAAGTATAAGGGTGCTTTTTATTTCCAATTTTTATAGAACGTGTCCTTGATCACATGTTCAGTCCATGGTGTTCTCAGCATCCGCTGTAGAACCATATTTTTGTTACTTCAAATCTCTTCTTCATCTGTGAGGAAATTGTCCAGCATTCGTTGTCATATATGAGGATTGATATTAAATAACATGTCACTACTCTTTTCTTTGTTTCTAACGAACTAAGAAAATGAATCACAAAACAGGGAGTGGGGAAAATAGTAAAAAAAAACAAAAAGCATTGCTAAGAAATACAATGACTAAGAAGTTATGGGTAGCCATGCTCCCCCACATCCTGAATAGACACGGGGTATAAAAGAAGAATATAGAAATCATGAAAATATTTTTTGTTTACTTTTAGCTTCAAAACATATCTGTACATTAAAATAAAATCAGCCGTGCGCTAAAAGAATTTGATGCATATGAAATGGTATTCACGATGTTGATAAAAAATGTTCAAAATATATTTATTTGAGAAATATAACTTGTATATTTGAGTCTATAACATGTTTTATTGGGAA